TCCATCTCCATGATCTCTCGATTTATTACCTTTCCAACTAGTTTCTTGTACACAAAGTTGACGAATCCTTCTCTTGTGCATAAAATGGGCAAGGTCTCTTCCTTTAGCTGTCAAACTTACGACGTTAAAAGTTGAAATTCTCAGAACTAGCTTCTTTGGCCCCTTTAGGCCTCTAAGAGGTAGACTTACAGAGGACAGTTGAGGTCCTTGCCTTCCATAACGAATAATATGTGTTGTGGTAAGCTGTTAAATTACTTAAAAAAGAATTAGTTGTTGAAATTTTTATATTTTGTATCTCCCTTTTTAGTTTTTGTGTAGCAATATTTAGACTGGTTTTGTCTCGTTGAGCTCTGTACTGCTGCCATTGTTTTCTCAACTTCCAATTTTCTACTATGAGTTTTCTGATTTTTTTTGGATAGTAGTTCCCTTTTGTTCGAAAAGTTATTGTGTTTCGAAATTTAATCCTAATATTGCAATAGTCGTTGCTCTTGTAAATATACTTGGACTTATTTTTACACACATGAGTATTCGGATTAATTGAAAATTCTGTTGTTCAACAATGCATTTAATGAACATCTACACATGGCGATCCTGTGTAGTTTCGTTTTACTTGTTTCTACACTAGGGATGGGAAAAACCTACCGGTTTTAACCGAAAACCGGTTTTTTTACTTCGAAATTATCGGTTTTTTCGGTTGTTTTCTTGTCCCGGTTATAACCGGTTTTTTATTTTTAAAGTAAAAACCAGTTATTAGGTTTTTACGGTGATTAGGATTAAGTTAGGTATTATTTTGGATCCCACCCAATCATAATTATTATTCTCAAGTAATTATTTCAAACAAAACTAAAATTCAATTTTTATTTTATTTTATAAATACAGAAGCAAACTGAAAGTGCAAGCTCACATCAGCCAGAAACAATTAAATTTTATTATAGTATTTCGTTGAAAAAGTATTTGTAATCATAATATTTTTACATAAGAAGTGATCTGGTATTTATACATCATCTATTTTTCACACTTGACTCTTGACATTGAAAGTGGGCGAATGGCTTTTTCTGATTACCAAAAATAATTACTGTGAATATCGAATTACCGATTACGAATACGAATCTCCAAGCATTTCCCTACGTTTTCAAAACGATTTATACCCATACCGGAAGTCGTAAATGAGTTAAAATGTTCATATTATACAAATATACACTTCATCTAATTTATATAACGATGCACGTCATCGGCGTCATAGCCTGTGACGTTACATGATACCAACACAAAATATTTAGGGTGTAGGTGTGTTCTTTTTTAGAATCACTTTACCGAGTACACTGGCATTACAGCCACTAGACATATTTTATTATATACGCGTAGAAATAATATTTAAAACTTTCTATTAATGTTAACTTAAAGAAATACACAATAATATGTTTCACTTAATTTGTATAAATGCATTATAAAGCGTTTTTATCAAGAACATTTGTTCGGAACACACTGTAACTGTAATCGAACAAAGCTAAAATTTTGGCATAAATTGGTAACACTTATTTGACAGTTGCGGTATTGACACTTTTTGTACTTCATTATTTTGAGTTTTAAAGTGAATATCTCTTGTTTTATATTTTTAACTATTTAATAAAATCTGTTCTTTTTAAAACAAAACTAGTGTGTTTTATTTCAAAAATGTCACGTAAGAATTTAATAGTCGTTGTAAAGAGATGGTAATACTTTTGTAATAATTATGTATTCTATTTGATTTAAAATGGAGTCAGGATTTTTTTAAACTTTGGCAACTATGTCAACTTCGATCTCTGACGTAGATAATGACGTAAGTCGTTATCTAAATTAGATGAATTTTACAAACGTGTTAATCGTATTTTGATTCGATATTATAGTATTCTATGATTATTTTAAAAATATACATTTTCGAGTATTTTAAATATGTGCTAAAAATAAATAATTTAACAGTTAATCCAGCAAAGATCTTTATACTTTTAATATAGCTTTAAATATAATATATTGTATATATTATATTAATATTGTATATTATACAATATTGTACGTCAATTTTAGCTTTTTAAACAAAAAGGATAACAAACACATGCAGTTGATTTATAAATAACACAATAATGCTCTTTTAAAAAAGATTTATTATTCTTGGCTTAGGCTTATATTTCCTTTATCCTTTTATGTTTTCCGGATAATGGATTGGAAAAAAGCAAATCAATAAAATGTACTAAACCCGCACATTATTTTAATGTAAGTCTGCCGTAAATCCCATAATACTCTTTAGCTGAGTGGGGATAAAAAATCTAAAAATCAACATGATACGGTCGTTTTACTGTTGCTGTTGGCTGATGTTCAGAATACTATTTATGATATTTATCACATTGAATGGCAAACATGTAAACGTTTACATTATATATATGAAAAATTTCAATATTTTAATGCACATAGTATAAATTTCATCAATTTTTAAAAACTTTTTAACTATATTTTCGTTTGAAGAGATAATTTGACCATGCTACAGCTTCTTTTCGCAAAGCATGCACCAGATCTTCTTTCTTTACAAGAAACTCACTTAAAAATAACACAATAGTAGATGTTGCGACGGTTGTGGCTGAGAAAATTTTACCGACCGTGGGAAAAAGTGGCATCCTTTGATGTTTGCACCTGTTCAGGTATTCGAGTAACGTCACGCTCACTGACAAGTCGAGTAATTTCTTCTTTTCGTCTCTTTCGTCTTCTTCTTTTCGTCAGCTGATCTGTTTTTCGTCCCATGTCACCTTCCTCTATTTACTAATTGAACGTTTACTGCTTGACAGGAGAACCCAATATTTTATATAATGCTACATATAAGCTTACATTCTTTCGTCTAGTATTCGACGGCTATTTTTTCGCCCAGTACTCTACATAGGTCTACGATTCTTTTCTCCAGTGCTGTACATAGGTCTACGATTATTTCCTCCAATGCTCTATATAGGTCTACGATTCTTTTATTCACGGCTAGACACAGGTCTTATCGCTAATCATCATAGGACACCACTGCCCAAATTAGATAACAAATATTTTTTTGTTTTCGTCCGTCGTTTCCTTTTTATATTTAGATGCTGATATATACAGGGTATACAATTCATGTTACAGTGATAGTGGTATATGATCACAGACGGTTCTTCGATAGCCATCAGGCGACAATTCCACGATTCATGTTAAAACATACAGAGAACACTTTACGTACTCAACTCAATAAGTGACAACCCGGTTTGTAAGCGAGTTTGATACCTGGCGTGGTACCTGGCGTGTTTCTGTGTGGGAATTGTCGACCATCCGTTTTATACTATGAAGGAAACCATCAAATATTCAACGTTGAAATGTGATATAATGTATCGATACAATCAATTATTAAAGAATAGTGACCAAACGCGAGTTGCATACTATATTTTATCTACGATCATAAGTTAATTAATTTAAAAAACCACTGTATATAAAATACAAATGAAACTTAAAAGGACAGTTTGAACAAAAATTCAGTCTTATCAGCAGTCGGTAGGGAGAAGGTGCTGCTGACGGGGAAAATAATATTAAAATAGTAGGTAAGCGAAGGAATGAAATTGAGTGAATATATGAAAAGCATATAATGAAAGCAACGTAACCAATTCGGTTCGAACAAATTTTGTTCTTAACAGCAGTCAACGCTAGTCTGTATGGTTACACGATCGCCGGGAGAGGTTTTGTTAGTATAGGACAAACATTTAGTATGAAAGCAAAATTATTGTCTTTTTCTATTACACACGTATAAATAAACATTTTACTGACTATATGAGAAGATACTGAAACTGAAAACTAAACTCCTGTTGGGGAACAGTCTATTAAAAACATATTTAAAAATTAACTCAGGAAAGAAGACCATTAACTTATCGATTGTTTTATTATTTTAGGTGGCAACATGAACACCAGATCTTAATTTAATAAGATCGGTTCATAATTCGACAGTGGTTTATATTAGATACCTTTGTGAATAATATGTTTCAGTAGACGTTTTTTACGATCTAATGCTAGACACCTTTTTGTTTTTTATAAGAAAAAGGTGGCAACACGAACACTAGATCCTAATTTAATAAGATCGGTTCATAAATTCGCCAATGATCCATCTCTCCATCTCAACTATCCATCCATCTCAACGACGGCTCTACAACAAGATTCAATATGGCTCCAGGAACATTTTCAGGCATTGATCTCACCATATTTGAATCTTCGTTGCTCACCCAATTCGATTGGGTAGCACTAAAAGATTTATATAGTAGTGAACACTTCCCAATCTTAATAAAACATACCGCTAATTTCAACACAAACACAATACCAACTCAAAAATGAAAACTAAAAAAGGCAAATTGGATTGAATTTGAGAAAATTGTATCAGACAGAATGAATCAGATTAAAATTTCAATTTATTGATGACACACTCACGTGCTTTAATCAGCTTATACTTGATGCTGCTAATACAGCCATGTGAAAATCTCAACTTTTAAAAAAACACAAACCAGTTCCCTGATGGAATACACCATGTGAAGTCGCTATTAGGATTGGATTGATATTATCGTGAACATGACGAGTAGGTTGTGAATCTAATTTTATTTTTATTTTTTTTTTTTCTCTGTAAAAACTTTCGTACATTTTCCACCGTTTCTTCTTAATCCTACGCAGCGAACGTACTGAAAAAAAAGACACGTCCCAAGACAGTAAAACTATGATTTTTTTGATCTGGCTTATTTATCATGTAATATTTCTATTAGCATACAATCTTAAACATACTATTTTTAAGAGCTTTAAATATTTTTGTCCTAGAGGCAAAAGGTTTAGTTGTTATTAACACCAACTATTTTATAAATATTGAAACGAATGAATATTTTTTTGAGTCATTTATTAGATAATGTGTAATATTATATACATAATAAAGACATTGAATATCGTTGTATAAATATACTAATCCTAATATTTGTTAATTGCAGCCCCTGGACCGGGATCAACCGAACGGTAGACCGCAATGGCGGTTCACCGTGTTTGCTCAGGACGAAGGAGGAGAAGGGCTTGTGGGTTACGCCGACGTCCAAGTTAATCTAAAAGATATCAACGACAACGCTCCCATATTCCGCAAGGAGTGTATTTTGGAAACGTAACAGAAAACGGAACGGCTGGAATGGTAGTAATGACAATGACGGCTGTCGACTACGACGACCCCTCCGAAGGCACAAATGCCCGACTGGTGTACTCCATTGAAAAGAACGTAATTGAAGAAGAGACGGGCTCTCCAATATTCGAAATTGAATCGGAAACGGGCGTTATAAAAACCGCAGTCTGTTGTCTCGATCGCGAAAGGACTCCCGATTATTCGATACAAGTGGTGGCGATGGACGGTGGGGGGTTGAAAGGAACTGGAACAGCGTCTATACGCGTAAAAGATATCAACGACATGCCGCCCCAATTCACAAAGGATGAGTGGTTCACGGAAGTAGATGAAACAGATGGCGCGACACTTCCGGAAATGCCCATTCTTACAGTAACTGTGCACGACGAAGATGAAACCAATAAATTCCAATATAAGGTGATTGAAAATAGTGGTTACGGTGCGGATAAATTTACAATGGTTCGCAACAATGACGGTACTGGATCTCTAAAAATCGTGCAACCTTTAGACTACGAGGATTTGTTACAAAGTAATGGATTTAGATTTAGAATACAGGTAAACGATAAAGGGGAGGATAATGACAACGATAAATACCACGTAGCTTATTCATGGGTCGTGGTAAGACTGAGAGATATTAACGATAACAAACCCCAGTTTGAACGACCGAACATCGAAGTATCTGTCTTTGAAAACGCGGAAGTCGGTAAAAGTCTCGAAACTTTTAAAGCCACCGATCCCGATCAGGGTGGAAAGAGTAAAGTTTCGTACGCTATTGACAGAAGTTCTGACAGAAAGCGGCAATTTTCCATTAATCAAGAAGGTACAGTGAGTATACAACGATCTCTAGACAGAGAAGACACTCCGAGACATCAAGTTAAAATTCTCGCCATTGACGACGGAATTCCTCCTAAGACAGCCACTGCAACTTTGACCGTAATCGTCCAAGATATTAACGACAACGCTCCGACCTTCCTTAAGGATTACCGGCCAGTCGTTCCTGAACACGTTCCACCCAGAAAAGTCGTGGAATTGTTGGCGACCGACGATGACGACAGATCTAAGAGCAACGGCCCGCCTTTCCAGTTCAGACTCGATCCCAGTGCGAGCGACATCGTGAGAGCATCTTTTAAAGTCGAGCAAGATCAAAGTAAGTTTATTGAGTTTAACTGATACTAAAAGAACGAACTTTAAAGTCCTTCACACAGTGAGGCTCTTTAAGCATAGTAGATCAGAGCAAATTAAGAATTTATTCAGTGCATGTAGGTCCATTGAAACGGAGTTGGAAAGTTTATTCAACAGGAGACTTTAAATTTTATGCCAACTTTATTGGCGATATCTTTGCCAAGATCTAGAATTTGTCGCAGTTTGTAACATTGTTATATTGTTTTAAAATCACCGTCCTGGCATGATGTTTATTTTATCAGGTACACTTGCAACAAAGTTGCAAAAAAACTTAAATAAGTAACTTTCTGTTATAATTTGAGCAGTAAATCTTTTAAAATTTGAATACAAAGTAAATTAGAGCACCGTCGGTCGTTTAAAAACCACATTCTTTGTCGAATATTACGTGGAACATTTTGCAGTAGTATGTTTCCAAGTTCCATATTAATATTTTTATTTATTTACTTAACTTAACTTCCAATTATTAATATCATCATTCAGCCCATACTCGTCCACTGCTGAACATAGGCCTCCCGTAGTTCACCCCACAAATTTCTGTCCTGAGCCGCCTGCATCCAATTTTGATATGTCCGTTTCAGGTCATCCGTCCATCTTGTTGGTGGTCGTCCTCTATTCCTAAAGGCATCTTGTCTGGGTCTCCACTCAAGAATGCGTTTTGTCCATCTGCCGTCCTTCGTTCTCGCGACGTGCCCTGCCCAGTTCCATTTTAAGGTTGATATTCTTTTGATTGCGTCGGTTACTCCCGATCTACGGCGCAATTCTGTGTTGGGTATTCGGTCTCTCAGGGTTAATCCCAACATGGACCGTTTCCATTGCCCTCTGTGTTGTTCGAATTTTGTTTGCGGACGTCTTAGTAAGTGTTAGCGTCTCCGCACCATAGGTTAGAACCGGCAGCACACATTGATCGAAGACTTTTCTCTTCAAGCAGATGGGAAGAGCTGATTGGAAAACATCTCTTAGTTTTCCATAAGCTGCCCATGTCAACCTGTTCTACGTATTAGTTCATTGGTCTGGTTATCTCTACTTAAGCGAATTTCGTGTCCCAGATATTTGTATGCTGATGTTTGTTCTATACTTGTTCCAGCTATGTTGATGTTCTCACTCAGAACAAGGTTTGTCATCACTTGTGTTTTTGAGTTATTGATCTTTAAACCCACTTGTGTAGAGGCATGGTAGAGTCTTTCGCACATTCGATGGCATGATCTATGCGGTCTGTTATCAGGACTATATCGTCCGCGAACCTGAGGTGACTAAGCTGCTCTCCATTTATGTTTATGCCCTTTTCGTCTAGGTTTGCACGCTTACACATGTATTCCAATAATGTTGTAAACAGTTTTGGTGAAATGGTGTCGCCCTGCTGAACTCCACGATGAATGTTGAACTTGTGTGTATCTTCATGGAGTCTGACGCATGCCGTGGCATTATCATAGATATTTTTGATGACAGTGGTGTAGCGGTGATCTATTCGGCACTCTTTTAAAGCTTGCAGCATTTTCTGGTGGTTTACTGTGTCGAATGCTTTCTCATAATCCACAAATATTAGGACGAGGGGTTTATCGTACTCTATTCATTTTTTGATGAGGCTTTTAATAACTTGTAGATGGTCGTTTGTGCCGAAGCCTGACCTGAATCCTGCCTGTTCGCATGATTGGTAAAAGACCATTTTGTTCGAAAGTCTGTTTGTTATGACTTCTGTAAAAAGCTTGTATATGTGTGAGATGAGGCTGATTGGTCTATAGTTTACGAGATTTATTAAATCTCCTTTCTTAAACATTAGAATGATCACTGCATTTTGCCATTGTGATGGTGTTGTTCCTCTTTCAAGGCATTCTGTGAAAAGTATGGAAAGCATTTGTATTAGTTTCTCGCCTCCTAATTTTATGGCTTCGGCAACGACCCCGTCGTCGCCAGGTGACTTATTATTTTTTATTTGTAGGAGAGCTTTTTTGATTTCATCAACAGTAACATCTAATATGTCTTCCGAGCCCTGGTTTAGAACCTTTAGTATGTTGTCAGTTGGAACATTTTCTTCTGTTTTGCTGTAGAGTTCGCTGTAAAATTGTCCGACAGTTTGTAGAATTTCCTGTTTATCTGTTATTATTTCGCCCTTTGTGTTTTTCAGTTTGTAAATATTTTTCTTTCCTATTTGCTGTTTCCTTCTGAAGACTTTTAAACTTTTGTTCTCTTCTATGACTTTTGTCTCTCTATTATTAATATATGTAACAATAAATCACTGAAAACTTTGTTTTCAAACTTCCACAAAAATTTATTTTAACACTTGACACTACAGATGTTTCGGCTGATTGCCTTTCTCTAGTGATCTATTTCTGGCATGCGTTTACACTTTATAATCTCTAATGAAATAGGTTGCGGAGGGGAGAACTGTTTGTCTCAAGTTGGTCATTCAGAATTATATCTGTGTTTTTTAATTTGTTGATTTCCATAGATTGTAACAAGGATAGCTTAAGGCCTTTATTTTGAATGTGAAGAATTTTAAATTCGTCGTTAAAAGAATGATTGTGATCTAGAATCTGTTTTTCTATTATTGAAAGCCCTTTTATGTTCTGCTATTCGTTTATTAAAGTTTCTACGAGTTTGACCGATGGAAGTTTTTGGGCAGTTGCCACATTTAAGTTTGTACACAACACTGTGTAAGTGTTTTTTATTTTGGCTCTTGTTGTTTTTGATATATTTTATTTGATATATATGTTTTATATATTTTTGATATATTTTTTAAACGTTTTTTTTTGTAAATAATTTCGATGAAAACGCAATATGCATTTAACTTCTAACATAGTTTAAATCTTAAAGAATCCTATGAAATTTGCTAAATATATCTAGCAGTTTAAATATTTAGCCTCAGGGATAAATAAATTAAATAACTTTTAAACTATTTGACTGATCGGGGGGAAATTTCGCACAAATTTAAAAGACGGTAACTCCTCGATGTTTAAATGCATTAATAACATTTTATTTTGTTAATAAGAAAATTGATAGTCGTCATAGCTCGTCACAGCAGCTTTCTCCAAATTTGGAAGAAAATCTTCAACAAATGGAATTTCATTATCCATTCTCCTCCGGTAAATCCTCGTCACAGCAGCTTTCTCTACCTTTGGAACTAAACCTTCAACAAATAAAAACTTCCCCAGTTACACCGCCATCCATGAATCATTCAGATTCTAATACTGAGACAAGTTCGAATTTAGACAAGAATTTTATAAATCTCTTCGAACTTCGTTCAAAAATTTTTTATTTTGGCCTACACCTACGGAAAATATTGATAAGTGTAAGGTGATAAAGGATAAGGTACCTGCCGTAGCAACTTCATCTCAGTGGCAACAATATTATAAGAAAAAAGAAGAAAAGAAAAAACTAGAAGAGCAGTTAAAAATGCAGCGGAAAGAAAAGCTCATCCCAAAGAAAGAACTGGAAAACGAGAAGAAAAACAGTTATTCTTTCACAAACTTTGAATAAACGAATTTCTAATCGCAGGACAAAGACTAAATTGAAAAATGTCACGAAGAATCTATTTTACACACAAGAAATGCAAAAACATAAACGCATGTTAATTAGCGAATCTTTAACATCTAAACCTTTACAGGAATCTTGGTATTGTTCATTGTGTGACACTGACGATCAGCTGAACATGCGCCTTTGTGGTTCTTGCTTGAAATACTAGGATGAGGCTTGCCTTGGTCTAACTGAAGATGATAGAGAAGAACTGAAATGCCCCTTGTGTCAATGACTACTAAAATAATGTGTGTTTATTAATTCAGTTTTCATAGATGCTTTAAATATTTTATATTTATTTTTTGAAAAATATTTTATTTTATTTGAATTTTCAATTTAGTATATTTACATACCTACAATAATTTATTTACTTCAATAGTTTCTATCTAACTAAATATTTAGGTACCCTATATAATTATTCAAATCTTGGGTATCAAAATCATGCCGAAAAAAGGATCATTGATGTGCCGAAAATTAGAGCATGCAGTTAATTTAGAATGCCGATAATGGGGACTTGGGACACTTTTACCTTGTTTAGGTAATTTGGTTAATAAAATAATAAATGAAGCTCCATTTGGCTTAACGTGCTAAAGGTGCCAATAATAGGTACATGTACCTTATATGCATTTGATATATAGTGGAATAATAGCTGTATTGTTACTCCAATAAGATGTTGCCCGTTTTACAAAACCGAAATTGTCTGTACATGCTTTTAGAAAAGGTCGAAGAATAGTATACGAGAGCTTTTACTTCAATATCCAATACTTGTTACACCAAAAAAGCGATGTCCTAGACTAGAGAGCTGACGAATTTTGGGAACTATTGCCTTGTTATGGCACGGACACACTACCGTGCTTGACAAAATTTTCTCCTAACTAGTGGAAAAAAAATGGACATGAAGACAAAAATAGATGACCCTGAAAAGTACTCAGAATTAAGTGACTACTCTGAATGAATAAATCTCAAGAATTTGATATTCACTGGTCACACATTGATTATTTATTATTGCATAATAAATAATCAATAAGTATTCAGCGGGTAACTGAAATACAGTCCGTTTGAAGAGGTCTACCCTCCGGACGCTGGTAGTCACGTGAGGCATGGTTATATGTTGCCTGAAGTAAAATCTAATAAAATATTAAACATCATTAATTTTTATAAACAATATGCACATTTTTTTGGTAACTTTAATTACTGTAAAGGGTTTTACCCTAATATTTTGGTGGCTCAGACATGTTAACCTGCTTTTAACCTGATGCTGGAATTATTATTCCGGAAACGTTTTGTATTTTGATGTAGCCCTTTTAAGGGTTCTTTAAATACACCTACTTACAAAGATTTAAACTTCTTTTTGTGATACATGGTATACAGCCAGCTGCAAGAATTTATTTTCTTGTGGATTTTAAAATAGATACTCCAATGAAAAATAAAATTTTTATATTCTGTATCCATATT